ACCAAAACAAATTTTTTTTTTACAAATTATTAAAAAAAAATTTTTTTTAAAAAGGGCTAATAAAAGAACATTCTATAGGACTGAAAAAAAAAATTGTGATAGAGAAATGCAAATCTGCTGCTACAAAGAAGTGTATTTTATGTCCACTGGATGGAGGTACAAGAGGTTTACAATTATAGTGGCGAGGCTTGTCATCCTGTCAGCCCACACCTACCCCTCTTTCAGTCCTTACGCTGATATCGGGCTCAATTTAAATTCTGGTGCTTTCTTACAAATATCTACATATAGGGCTGCTTCTATCTACCAATACTCACTGATACACGGGTATGTCCCGTTCAGGCCCCTATGCTCTGCCAAATATTAGGGTCTATTCTGTGTTCACAATCACCCCTCTGACACCTGTTTTCAAGACATCTCGACATCCTATGGAACTCCCTTGCCTGCTCTTTTAGAATCTCACCCAGCCTCAGTTCCTTCAAAAGATCATTAAAAAAATCAGTTCTTTAGGATAGCATTACAAATAAACTGTTAATAGCCTTTCCTTCTCACGCCTATTTCTTTTTTTAATTTGTACTTCATGAATTACAAATTTTTATTACTGGTGTTTTTACTTAAGTGCCAAGATCTGGAATGATATAGTGCTTTATTATGTGGTGAATAAACTTTAAGTCTATATAATTACTCTAAAAGGAAGTTTTTACCATTTTAATTTTTTTTTTTTAATGTATTATTTATTTTATTATTTTTGGTCTGTGATTTTTAATAATGTAGTTTAGAATATGAGCTTCTTGCATCCATTATTTTAGCTTCCTTCCTTTGTGTTGCACCTCGTCCAACAATACAATATTAGACCACAGGGGTAACCAGATGACCATCTGAAATCGCAGCGTGAAATAACTAGTCCCGGCATTGCAGATTAATAATTTGTATGTTTTTGTGTTTTCATTTGTTTCATCCGACTCTAAACGATGTTCTTCTGTGTTAAAAATTTTTTAAATACGAAGGCCTCATTTTATTATTGGCTTGAACAGTCCTGTACATGATGTGACATACTTGTCCGTTTAACACTGCACTACTTATTTCTATTTTTCCATTTATAGGCAGCTTTCCACTGAACAAGAGGTCCTGCAGCGATCTTTGGAGAAAGAGTCTAAAGTAAACAAACGCCTATCCATGGAGAATGAAGAGCTCCTCTGGAAATTGCACAATGGAGACTTATGCAGCCCCAAAAAACTTTCTCCGTCTTCTCCTGGCATTCCTTTTCACACTCCACGGAACTCAGGCTCATTTTCAAGTCCAACCGTGTCTCCCAGATGACACCCCTTTAATGAAGACTCTATACAAACATTTCAGGAAAGAGACACAAACGATGGGGGGGAAAGCTATATTAGCTATCTATTAACAGAAATATGACTGGAATTCTTGGTGTGGGTAGACGGTTATATATCTTACTGGAATTAAAGGAGCATTGTTTTAAAGTTCCTCATTCAACAAAGAAAAAGACTGTATCATAATATATGTATATGAACATTGTTGCACAAAGCACTTACTAGCAAGATACCAAGATTCTTGCCTTTTTTTTGCCTTTTTTTCACTTACAGCTAGTTTTTAGGGGGGAAAAAAAGCTCAGGGCTTGTAGATAAAAGATCACAACCTTTCTATAGTTTCTTTATCACCAGAAAATCTTTCCCTTTTTTTTTTTTTTGGTTCCCTTTTTTGATAAGGTGGGTGTGATGTGAATGAGTTGGATGTAACGCCGTGTGTGTTTCGTATTGCCTTCTGTGCTCTGTATGTAATAAAGGAAAAAGTACAATTTTCTTTTGGAATATTGTTTGTTGAATCTTGTTCCTGTTTTAAAGAAGTGGAACAGAAGGTAATCTGCCTTTTCTGTTGTGAATCCCTGCTTTTTTGCCTCAAAAGATTTACTTTTTTTTTTTCTTCTTTTTTTAATGAAAACATTGGAAGGATATTTCTTTCATTGTGGGATAAATGATGGGCTTTGGCTCACCCCATACACAGCAGTGCTTTTACGCAGAACCAAAATTTGTGTCCAAGCAACTTGCTTTTATATGGAAACGATAGCAGGTGTAAACACAATTTGTTTTGGTCTATGCAAGTGACCCCCCTTTTGTTATTTTTGTTTGGGGATTTAACTCTTAGGTGCAAGACACCCCCATCTTTAATTCTCCATATCTACACAAAACCTTTGTACATAAATCATACTTGTTTTCTGCCTTAATTTATTAACAAAAAGTTGTCTGTTTCCAGCAGATGCATGTAACCAGCATCTCTAAGTTACCAGAGTTTTTTGACTAGTGGAGTAGCTGATCACTATGCTTCCCACTGTAACCTAAAGCAGAGTTAATACTCGCTCTGTAGTTAAGTTATCAGGCTCTTATGTTGATCTGTCAGAAAGATGTGAACGCCAACAGATCCTGATGTGGTAACAAGAAGAATAATACAATTCTGTATTGTTATGGGATATTTGAAGTCTGGTTTTAAGAAGCTCTTATCCAAAGTAACCTTTACATCGTCTTTGTATCCTTTCTTTGATCTTTTTCTTTTTAGTTAAGTGGAGCTTCACTGGGTTTCTGGAGGGAGTTTTGGGAGTGCTTTTATAAAAAATAAATTAAAATTAATTGCGAGCCATGGTTAAATTGCCATAGGGGTGCTTGGAATTACAAAGAAAGTTTGTTTTGCAACAACTTGAGTCAATGTATTTGAAGTTTTCATTATTTGACAGTTCACTATGGTATTTATCAGTTTGTGTACTGAGGCGAGATGGATGGCGCAAGTAAGCAGCTCATTGCACCCCACAGGCATCCAAAGTGTTAAAATGATGTACCTTGTCTGAACATATACCTGTTTCTCACCCGCATGTGTTTTTCATTGAACTGACTCTGACCACGTCTGAATCATAGGATTTCATTTCGGGCACTGGAATGGGCAAATATGGGCACACTAAGGATAATGTGTTTTGTGTATTAGGTTTTGCTTATGTTTTTGTTTTGTTTTTTTGTTTTATCTTTCATTTTCATCTGCATCATGCAAATGTATGTAGCTTATAGGAAATGTGGATGTACAAAGATATAATAAAGCTGTAGTTGCTTGATTTGTTATGATGGAATATATATTCTGACATGTGATAAGAAAATAAATTTATTGGTGCAATAATTTACTTCCAAATGTTGGAGGATGGTTTCCATTCTTTTGTTCCTTACAGTCAGGTTTTTTTTTTATATTGAATTGCTAGAATTTAGTCTGTTTTCCTACACTCTGGTAGGTGCAGTTGTGGCAGGATGTGTAATAAGGTAAGGGAACGGAGGATGGTACCATCTTTCATCGCTCACTGCGTACACTAGCGAAATCAATGACTGACCTGTCGAATGCTTTTCATTCACCTGTAGTGGTGTCATTCGTGTAATTCCCTATAATAAATGGGTAACAGTACACAATTAACCACTGCACTATGCGAGGCTACCTATCTGGGGTAGAAACACGACAGACTTATCCAAGTCTGCACAAACTTAATGTTTATTGTGATGTATCCAGGACCAGCAATACCAATGTTTTCTGCTGTTTTGTGTATTTTTTTTTGTTTATTTATTTTGCACCATTTGCCCCTCTCTCATTTTAACTAGTCGTTTCATAGCCCTCTCACATTCCAACATACTTACCTCTCACATTCCAACATACTTACCTGGTGTTCTTAACACCACATTGTTCATCTTTTGGCAAACGTTATATCAGAGGTATGTAACCTTTTTGTTAGCAAAGAAAAGTCTTGAAGTCCCTGAGGGGGCCCTATTTTTTAATTATTATTTTTTTAAGGTAATGTTTATGTATGTTTGAGAATTCTGTGTTTGTTATGTATAGGTGTGAAGGCTGCTCTGTGTGGTTTATGTATATGCGGGTTGTGTTGTGTTGTGTGGTGTGTTGTGTATGTGAATTGGTTGAGTATTGTATTGAGTGTTTCACATGGGTGTGGGCTGTCTTTGGTATGTGAGTGTATATGGTGGTATTGTGTTTACTTGCAGGGGTTTGTGTAGTTGTGTGGGTGATTATGTGCTGTCTTAGTTAGAAATACTGCAAAACACGCACATATAAAGTTGCGAGGCTGCCTGTGACAAGTTTTTGTATGCTGGTTGATTTTACTATTTGTGTGTAGGTCAGGGCTATCTGTGGTGTTGTGGTTATTTGGTGTTTATTGTATTGTGTACTTTATTTGGGCTGCCTGCTCTGTGTCTGTTGCCTGTTGTACTTTTACATGTCAACTGTCTGTTTTAATAAAAAAAATATATATATATATTGTGTGTGTGTGTGTGTATATATATATATATATATATGTTATTGCCTACCCTTTTTTTTAGGGAGAGGTGCATGAATCCTTGTTTCCTGATGGTTGCAGACCGTTTATCCCACTGTCTGGTGCTTCTTTTCTGGCAAGACAGAGCATTGCCATGGCAACGTCGTGACTTTGCAAAACTTGTCTGAGCGTGAGCAATGGTTAGTTGTGGTGTCTGCACCTGCCGTAGGTGCAGACTACTGGCTTCTTTGTACTCTGGGCCAGCTGGGAAGACGCGCTGATCTTCACTTCTTGTCCATTTATGTCTGGCAGCCTCATGGCATGCATGTCATAGGATGCTGACCCACATCTTGTGGTTTTAATCTTCATCTCCTCCAGATTGTAATCATTTGATTAAGGTTCTCATTAATTTCTTGTTCCTGTTAACATTTGTAAGAGTTGACTATTTGCCATTATATCCCCATATTAAAATTGTAAAGCTCTGTGAGATACGTCGGTCTTGTATAAATGCATATACAGCATTGGCAAATACAACATGATTGTATCTATTCTCCAAGATTCACTCACAACCAGTGAGAGAGATCCTTAGAAGGAAGTAGGCGCTCTGCTCCAATCATAATAAAAAAGCACAAAAAAAAAAACTTAATAACTATATACACATTGATCAGACTAAAATATTAAACCCACTCACCGATAAAGTAAATAACATTGATTTTATTGTTACTATGGCGCATGTAAAGGGGTGTTTATATATTAGACTGCAAGTGAACAGTCAGTTTCTTTCGTTTGCCTATTTTTCCTGCTGCCAACAGATGAAATTCAAGATCTGCATGACTTTGACAAGGAATTTATAGTGATGGCAAGACAACTGGATCAATGTCTCACCAAAAAGTATGGTTCTTCCTGGTATGCAGTGGTTAGTACCTACAAAAGAGGTGCAAGGAAGCACACCTGCTGAAGTGACGTCAATGTCATGGGTGCCCAAGGCTCAATGATTCACATTGGAAGTGAAGGCTAACCCATCTGGTCCAATCACACATAAGAGCTACTGTTGCCCAGATTGCTGAAAAACTAGGTGTATATTTAAAGGTTTTTAAAAAAAACAAAAAACTGTGCATTGCAGTTTGCTACGTAGCCTCAAACCAGTCAGTGCCCATGATGACCCATCTCCACTGCCAAAAGTGCTTTTAATGGGGAACATGATCGTTCAAAGTGGACCGTGGAGCAATGGAAGAAGGTTGCCTGATCTGATGAATAAAGTTTTCTTTTAGATCAGATGGAGGGGTGGGTGCATGTGCATTGTTTACCTAGAGAAGAGATGGTGGGAGATGCATTATGGGTCCCTCCACGTGTCTCATTCTTCCTAAATCCATAACATGTCTTATTTCCAACCCCCCCAGGCACTCCACGTGTCTTTTCGAGCCCCCTGCCAACCACCCCCACCAGTCCGTCCGCATGTCTCTCAGACCCACCCCCACCAGTCTTGCCATGTGTCTCGCCCAACCCAACCAGACCCTCCATATGTCTCCCCATCCCCTTGCTGTCTCCATTGGCGGGGAGACTGCGTTACCCGGTCTGGTAGGAAGAGCTCTCTGTTAGACCGCAGTCCATTCAGCCACACTACACATTGCGGCAGAATGGGAGCAGCACAGTGCTTCCCTCTTGCAGGTCACCCAGCATCCGCAGCCCCGCCCACGGTCACAGGGATTGGCAGAAACAAAAATTGAACTTGCTATGCATAATATAATAATCTTCACCTCTGGTAGGCTTCCATGCTATGGAATTCATTTGTGAGAGTGCTCTGACTGAAATTGCTTAATGTGGGGACCTCCTACAGCGGCTTTACCTCAATATACAGTTTCAGTCAGAGCTCTTTGATTGGCTAATACATGGTATGCATTCTGTGTGGAAGTCCTCCATTGGTAAAGGTTTTTGTTTTTATAAACTTCTTTTTAAAAAATGAATGGTTGCATCAGTTATATTGGATTTTTGTTTGGCCTTTTGTGGGGCAAAAAAATGTCTGATGGCAAGTATACATTTTGTTTTTTTATAGGTGTTGGTTTTTAAGACCTTGCACTTCATTTTATGTTGGGACATTAATAACGCCTTTTTTATTTTATTTTTTTAATTTATAAGTCAAAATGTGTGATTGATGGGAGTTTTCTCACTGTTGTAATTATAGGAGCTCCAAGTTGTCGCTAAAGCTGGTCAAATGAAGGTGGAACAAAATAGGAGAGGGGGAAGGGATCAATGATAAAACGTGACTGCTTTTCCCATCATGCACTGGTTACGTTTACGGTGATCTGTAGTCCAACATAGAATGACACCTACAGAAATGGACTCCTGGACAATCGTCTACTTGCTTTCAAGTTCCTGATGTGTTTACTAATGCTTCATGAAAGTCAAGCAGGGGATTGTGGGATATATACAGGGATATTCACTAAAGTGAGAATTCAAAGTAAATTCTATATTCAAGAAAAATATATCTAAGTCTGCCATGCTTCCAGCTATGGTACATTGCCCTAAAATTGGGAATTCACTTTGAATTTTCACTGAAGAACCCCGATAGTTTATGTCCAATTTGCAGCAGCATTCATTGCAGGCTGAAAGGTGTTGCTCATTAAACAAATAACAGCCATGTCATTACAGCAGCCATATACACCACACAGTACATGGTTTGCTAGCAATCTTTTAAATGACAAACCGCCACCATGACTCTCTACATGGGATGAGTGATTAGCCATGTGCACTTCCCACACAAGTTGGATGGCAAAGTAGTAATAATCCATCCTTCAACACCACTGAGCTGGAAAGTGGTCTATAGCTGCCATTATTTATTTATTTATTTTTTCTTTCAAATCACTGCCATTAAAGCCACTCTTGGCAGGGATGGTACCACACCATAGTGGTGTGATGGTGCTCAAAGTGACCTTTTAAGATATACATTTAAAAATCATGGACAAACAATCATAGCAAATAATATAACAGTGATGGCTTTGTGATAATTAGAAGCAAATGTATAAGGAAGAGTAGCCTGCAATATGCAGTCACTCCATAATCCTGGCACATGAGAAAATTGTCACAAATAGTTATCTAGTCAAAAAAGAAATAAATTTGGAGGAGATGTTTGATATTTTTTAAAGTGTAGAGGTGCGTGTCCTATGAACTATTTTGAGTTATTTTAATAGCTAAACGTACCCAGGTTTTAACAAACATACATGTTCAGTAAATGCTTTCAAATCTACATCTGTGATTAAAACGTATTTATGTGAGTCACAGTAATTCTGTGTTTTCGTGCAATCCACAGAAACAGGTAATTTATTAATTGAAAGAAAATCTACTTTGATCTTATACAATCATTTCCTATTATTTGTATCTGGGAGATGGGGAAGAGTAGTGAGAGACTACGGAGGGTGTTAATCTGTTTTATTTAATATTTTTCACTGGAGACATGTTGTATTTTCTCCTGTTAGTCTGTGTAAATTATTTATTAAACATAAAAAAATGTGTGACCCAGAGATTGATAAAACCGTGGAATAAAATACAACAATATCCCATTTATATGACACTTTATAAATAATATCCTGCAATCAATAGACTGCTGAGAGATATGTTGTCAAATTTATAGAAAACTTTTACAATTTGTATACAGTTTCAAGCAGAACGTAAGATACATTACACATATTACAAATGCGTTAAAATTACAACCAAATTAATGCATTTTTCCTTTTATGAAAATAAGGACTCTGATTCAGCATATTTTACATTCTTTGGAAATAGGGCTATAGTTGCCACCAGATGTACTTAGGTTTTATAAATGATGAGGGAAATTGTAACATTGTTCACACCATAGCATGGTAAAGAATAAAGATTTTTACTGCTTTTTTTGTAATATGTAGCATGGATAAATGAAATACATTTAAAGTATTTGAATACAGGTAATAATTCTTTCTCCCCCCTCTTTAGCTTACAAGCATTTCATTGCAAGTAATTATTGCCATCAGAAACAATCAGGCCTAACAGATATACCTCTTATTATTAACATGATGATATTGCTTATTAGCACAGCATGCTCTGCATCTGGGGGTTGGTGTAGAATGCAGAACGTGGGCTTGTGGTATAGATTAAGTGTGGCTCTGTTGGTTTTGCCTGCTTTTTCATTGCTTGGCCTTCCCAGAAGGGATCTTTATGTTGAGTTTTGCCATTAACACATTTGTGGTGTGGGGGGAAAAAATGAGGGTTTTAAAATCTCTCCACTCTTGTAATTAGTGTGGTTTGTCCTCTGAGGTTTTGTGCTTTGCAAATATAGTTTCCTGCGTCGATTGTTTCAAAATCTTCAACTGATATGATGCTTTTTGAGATTCGTGTGGTATGTCCAATGCCACGATTCACCAGCCTCCAAGAATCCTTAATAGCAACTGGTCTTTGGTACTGTTCAGGGAGAAAATATACAGTTTTACTTTATTTTTTTAAATTTCATTTTGAAACACATACCTAAAGTTAAAATCCTGGATGTATGACTTGATTTAAAACGTTATAATCCTAATAAAAAAAAAAATGTATTCACATTCAGTTTGGAAGTATTGTGTATGTGCATATATAAAATATAGACCACTGTTTGTAGCACATTTCATAAACATGATCCCAAACAAGACCCTCCCATATCCTCTTTCTTTGCTACTGCCTCCTAGGTTAGTTGGGTCCAGCTAGAAAACTGTATTTGTTAGAGGAATACTGTACTCAAAAAGAAGAAACCTTAAGGGGAGAAATGTAAACTATTTCCCTACCTCCATTCCACTTTCCCTGACGTCTTTGGCCTCGTGTTTTTTTTTTTGTTTTTTTTTGCTTTCGACACCCTCTCTGGTCTTTTTTATTTTCCCCAGTTAATCATATCCTGCATTTTTGTTTTGCTTCATTCTGACGCTGGTTTGTGACTGTCTAAGGTCCCATCCTTGGCACGGATCTGATATCTATTGATCCATCTGATTTGCACAAAGGAAATGATCATAAGGATTTTAGCCTGTTTGAATATTACATTATTTTGTGAGTGAATCAATCTGTACAAGAGTCTGATGAAATTGAATCCCTTGTGGGTAACAGTGGTAGGTAAGCCCTATTATGACCACCATCCAAACCATAGTTAGTAACTACTCTGCTGCAGACCTCAAGGACTCCTACGGCACTTCACGGTTTGATCCATGCCTATTGAAGCATGCACGCTCAAATGAATGGGCCCGACCAGGAAGCATTGCAGCATTTATCCGTTATTAACTCTGCAAACCAAAGGAGAAATCAAAATAAAACTTTGGGAAGAGTGCCCTAGATCTAGATTGTTGTTACTCTGGAATTTGATTCCATGTTTGTTGCTCTCCTGACAAAGTCAGGTGTGAAGTCGCAGATATCTGGAGCAGGGACTGAAGACCACCCAAGATAAGAGATGCAAGTGACTGGAGGTTGGAACGCTGAGGTATCTTGCCTCCTGGAGCACCTTAGCGTACCTTTTTCCCTAGATCTTTTTGGTTCCAGGGTGAACCATCAGTCAGAGCTGTTCTTCAGTTGGCTGCTGGATCCTCTTAACTGTGGATGCTGTTCTTCAACAATGGCCTCCTATAGGAGTTAATTTATTTCCTCCTTTTACTATGATCACAAGAGTGCTTCACTTATTGAGATACCAACTGGTCTTTCTGGAGCGGTCAGTCATGGTTTTCCATTCTCCTAAAGATGTCCTGTGAATATCCTCTTTTGCTGCCACAAATTCCCTCAATCCTTCTAGACCTGGACAGCAATCCACATCTGCTGATCATTCAGGCCACTAGTGAATGGAGGGCAGGATGTAGGCCTCCAAACCAATACACTAAGATGTCTGGTATCACACTGTATGTAGGAATAGCAATATAAACATCTACACTAATTGCTTAATGCTTCTCTACCAAAGAGTTTATCATTCCTGCTCAAAACTCTAGCTGTATCACATCTGCAGTAGCCCCTCATGCTTATATCGGCTTTGTTCCCAAATTATAACTGACTAATTCTCCTCTCTTGACAGAATGGAATTAATCCTTCCTGTCAAGCAAAGCATTTCCTTGGCACTCCTTGTCTAACCATATTATCAGACTGAATGCACAGCAGTGCACAAAGCAACCTTATCGTTAAGTATAATTTGGACAGGCTTTATCATCATGTAACCACGAATAAAGGAAGCGGGTGAACAAGCCTTGAGATGTTTCAGAGAAACAACTTATATTTACTTCATCTCCATGAATGAAAGACGACCCGTCACTTACAAAAACAAATTAGGTTATTCACCAGACTGGAATGTTTGTAGAAAAGACAAGTGAACCACAAATTGTAGCGCGTAATCCCAAAGTCATTTTAAGAGTTAAACTTAACATTTTCATTGTCAGTTCTCCGCAATCCCTGATTTTGTGAATAGATCTAAACGTTTTCTGACCCTCAAGACTATTTACATGGTTATCAGCAAAAATCAGCACGGTTTTATGAAGCACAGGTCATGTCAAACTAATGTGATTGCGCTCTACAAAGAAGTAAGTAGAAGTATAGATGAGGGTGTTGCAGTGGATGTGATCTATTTGGATTTTGCCAAGGAATTTGATACAGTTCCACACAATAGATTAGTGTTCAAACTCAAGGAAATCGGTCTAGATGAAAATGCTTGTTCTTGGGTAGAACATTGGCTTAAAAACAGAGTACAAAGAGTACAATTTTCAAGCTGGACAGAGGTGGCAAGTGGTGTCCCTCAGGGGTCTGTTCTGGGACCCCTTTTATTTAGCATAGATATAAATGATCTTGAAGACAGCATTGAAAGTCATATTTCAGTGTTAGCAGATGACACAAAACTTTGTAAAATAATACAATGTGAGCAAGATATTACTTTGATGCAGAGGGATTTAAATAGACTGGGGGACTGGGCACTCAAATGGCAGATGAAATTTAATGTAGAAAAATGCAAAGTTATGCACTTTGGCGTAAAGAATACACAAGCAACGTATACCCTTAATGGAAGCGAATTAGGGATAACAACACACGAAAAGGACTTGGGAATTGTTATAGACAACAAACTATGCAACAATGTGCAATGTCAGTCAACAGTGGCCAAGGCCAGTAAGGTATTCATGCATGAAAAAGGGCATTCATTCTCGGGATGAGAATATAATTTTGCCTCTTTATAAATCACTGGTAAGACCACATATTGGATATGATGTGCAAATTTGGGCACCTGTTCTAAAGAAGGATATTATGGCACTAGAAAAAGTGCAGAGGCGGGCTACAAAATTAATAAAAGGAATGG